CACACACACACACACACACACACACACACACACACACACACACACACACGCGCGCGCGCGCGAGGCTACGTGCGGACTCACAGGCGAGTAAATGCCCTCACTTAAACAAGGGAATCTCCCCAGGAGATGCTCTTCAGAGGAATCACCTGGTTGCCTGGCAACAGCATTGCTCTGCCCCTACAACCTGGTTACTTCCGCTCATGGTTGAGTTTTTTATTTTATTTTATTTTATTTTATCTTATTTTATTTTATTTTACGAGACTCTGCGCATCCCTCTTTGTCGTCTGTTTACACGTTTGTTCATTTCAGTCCCTGGCAGGTTGTCCTGTTTTATGTTCACGTGCACTGAGCGTGTGTGTGTGTGTGTGAGTGTGTGTGTGCCCTTGTTTCTGCTACTTGGTGGGGACGATTTTTCAGGAAAATGCAGCCTCATGACTTTGAAGGCTGATTTTGGGTGTGGGGGTTGGGTTTAGGACCAAGATGTGAATTGAGTTTAGGTTAGTTTTAGGGTCAGGTAGGTACCTGTGATGTTAACTTTAGGGTTTGTGGTCAGGGTTAGGATATAAAATTACCAAAAAAATGAATGGAAGTCAATGGAAAGTCCCCACAATGATAGAGAGACGTGGTAGGTGTGTATGTGTGTGTGAACGCTTCGTGTTGAGCTTGTGTTGCTGTGAGTGAAGAGGAAGTAATGTGACTGGATTCTGTTCAGCAGAGATGATGATATGAGCGTGGCAGGGATGCAGTGGGTGGGTGGGTAGTCCCATTTTTCCCGAGGTAACCCCTCCTTYTGTTCTGCTTTTCTTTTTTTCCTCCATTACACATTACAAATTAATCACCTGCCTCCTCGCTTCATTTTTCCTGCTAAGATAAGAGCAGCTATGCTCCTTCACACCTTGTTTACAACATGTTGTGGATTTTCTCAGCCCATATTTAACCACATAATGTGACAGGTCTGACTTTTACTGTTACAAAACATTTTCTAGTGTGCCTTCTGAGCTACGCCATCGTATCTTTCTCTTTTTTTTTTGGCAGTGGGAGGGATTCTATCTTTGAATGTGGAGCAAGGTTCTTTCTTTGTTAATTACTGACCTTTCCTTATACAGAGGTGTCAAAAGTATTCACATTCATTACTTCAGTAGAAGTATAGATACTAGGGTTTAAAAATACTTTTTTTGGAAGTAGAAGTATCAATTCAAGCTTTTTACTCAAGTAAAAGTATAAAGTACTGGATTTAAAGCTACTTAAAGTATAAAATTAAAATTAATGAACACTTAAATAGCCATTAAAGGATAAAAGCTTAAGATGTGCCACATGGTTCTATAGTGCCCCCCCCCCCCCATATTTCTTCTAAAGTAATGTTAAATTAAAATGTTAATGTTGAAAAATTTGGAATTAACTGACTAGACTAGTTGTTTCAGCCACGATCATCTTCATTCTAGGCTATATCTGCTACAGTCTGTCCTGCTGACGTCATCTGTTGAAGAGGAGCTGAGGCTGGACTTGGAGCTCCTCCCAGATAACAAAGCTGCTCACCTCATCTCTAAGACTGAGCCCAGACACCTCACAAAGGAAGCCCATTTCAGCTAATCTTGTTTTGTTTTTTAAATTCCTGATCCATATCTTATGACCATAAGTGAGGRTTGGAACATATCAGACGGACCAGGAAATCGAAAGCTTTGCCTTTTGKTTCAACACTTTCTTCACCGTGATGACCAGACAAAAGCCCTGATCCGTTGATCTACCTCATGCCCCATCCTGCCATTACTCATCAACTAGGCAAGATACCCAAAAGTCCCTAAAAAGTTTCCCCGGCAGATTTAATAAATTGAGTATGTATTTCAGATACACAGTTCGTTATTGTGAGTCAAAATTAACATTTTGACATAGAGATACGCTTGCTTCTATCCATAATCAACATTTCAAACATCATTGAATGTATAAGAAACTATTTCAGATATTTACTACCCAATTGTTTGTAGACATGCTTCATTCAATTTGTTTTATGTTAAAAWCGGCATTCCATTAAGTTCCTAAAAACTCACAAATATCATATATGGCAATTGCATTGATCTTTTTCCCTAATACTGATATCTGAAATAGTTTTYAACTAGTTAAAAGTTGAATTGTGGATATGTTTTTACAGAAGTTATTAGTGACTTGTACTTTTTTTCATTCTGACTATCTAAAATGAGATTTAGGGCTGGTCACAATGAGATTGTCTTTAAGGTTTGTGATTCCATATACAGATTGTGGATATATGGATCCTTGTTTTAAAAAGAATGAGGTTAGAGATATCTGCTGTGCTGACAATGGACAGAATGAGATTTTGAATGTTGTAAATGTTTTTATGGTTTAGAAGAACTGAATTCAAGACCTGCTTTTAAAGGGGCAACAACTTGTAAAATCAACTTTTTTGAGTTTTATATCATGTTATAATGTTATACTCTCATAAAAAAAACTGACCAAATCCTTGCTC